GAGGGAGACAACACAAGGACACAAGGAATAGGTAGGCAGATAGGAGAGGGAGAGGAATGGTAGAGGGAGAGGAAAGTGGGAGAGGGAATGGTAGAGGGAGAGGGAGAGGGGAATGGTAGTGGGAGAGGGAGGGAGGTAGAGAAGGAGAGAGAGAGGGAGGTAGAGAGGGAGATGGAGGGAAGGAGGGAGACACACAAGGACCACAAGGAATAGGTAGGCCAGATACGAGGGAGAGGGAGAGGGAGAGGGAATGGTAAGAGGGAGAGGGAGGGAGGAGAGGACTGGGAGAGGGAGGGAGAGAGGGATGGGAAGAGGGAGGGAAGGAGGTGAGAGGGAGAGAGAGAGAAAGGAGAGGAGAGGGAGAGAAGCAGGACAGGGGGAGCAATGGAAGCAGAATAGGATCGAGGGAAAAAACACATACTGAGATAGAATGAAAGAGTGAAAGAGAAGAAGGAAAGGAGAAACATGGAGTGAAAGAGACCGTCAAAGATTATAGATATATAGACAAAAGGAAAGGGTGAAAAGAAGGAAAAGGTAAATGCGAAAGGAGAGAATCAAAGCAAGAGAAGAAAGGAAGCGAAGAGAGAGAGAGAGGAGAGAGAGAGAGGAGAAGAGAGAGAGAGAGAGAGAGAGAGAGAGAGAGAGAGAGAGAGAGAGAGAGAGAGAGAGAAAGAAGAGAGAGGAAAGAAGAGAAAGAAGAAAGAAAGAAGAGAGAGAGAGAGAGAGAAGAGAGAGCGAGAAAGAGAAAAAAGAAAGAGAGAGAGAAAGAAAGAAAGAAGAAAGAGAGAGGAGAACAGGCAAGAGAAAGCAGACGAACGTGCCGGCGCGCACGCAAGTGGCGGAGAATACGAGCGTGGACACAGGTAAATTAGCCTAAGAAAATAGTCCAAACACATCCGTCCAAGAGGTCATACCGGTTGCCCATCCCTCCCCTCCTCTCCCCTCTCCCTCCTCTCTTACTACAATACCCTCCTCCCCTCTCCTTCTCCTTCTCCTCCTCTCCTTCTCCCTCCCCTCGTCCCTCTCCCTCCTTCTCTCTTTCTCCTCTTGTTCTCACAACCTCCCACTCCTCTCCTTCTTCCCTCTCTCTCTTTCTCTCTTGTCCCACAACCCTTCTCCTCCTTCTCCTTCTCCCTCTCCTCCTCTCTTCTTCCTTGTCCCACAACCCTCCTCCCTCTCTCTTCTCCTTCTCCTCCTCTCTCTTCTCCTTCTCCCTCCTGTCTCTCCTTCTCTCTTGTCCCAAATCCTCCCTCCCCCTCTCCTTCTCCTTCCCTCCTCTCTCTTTTCTCCCTTGCACCACAATCCTCCCCTCCTCTCTTTCGCTTTCTCCCTTGCCCCGTAGCCCTGTCACCTCTCCTTCTCCCTAAGCCCTATTTCCCTTCTCCCTTACTATTAGCCTCCCCCTCACCGTTTCTCCACAATCCTCCATCTTTATTCTCCTGCTCTTCCTCCCCACTCCCTAACCCTTCACCTACCCATCTTCCACGCCTTTCTCCTATACCCCAATAACCACAACACACTACAACACTACACAGCCGAACACCCTAACCCTACCTACCTCGGCCCTCAACCCCTCTTTCACTCCCAACACCCTCCTAATACATGATGCCCAACCCCCTTACAAGCTTCTTCCCTCTTCATACCCAATCCACCCCTATCCCCGCCATTGACCCCCGTGTCACCCTGGACCCTCCTGACTCCCCTTCACCCCCCTCCCTTTCCTCCCCATTCCCACCTCCTCTCACCCACCCCCCTCCCCGCCCTTCCCTCCTACCCCTTCCTTTCTCCTGCCTTCCCCACTCCCTCCTCCTCCCTCTCCTTTCTCCTACCTAACGCATCCTCTTTCCCTCACTCCCCATCCCCCTCCTCACTTCCTCCCCCACTCCTTCCCCTTCAACCCGGCACCTCCCTCCCCTCCCCCCCACCTCCCTTCTCCCCACCTCCCCTTGAACAGAACACACACCGCCAAGAGGCGATCAAGCGTGACCTATTAGAGGCCCCGACGGCTGTCCACCTCGTGCGTGTTGCGGGGTCAGGGCGGAACACCGAGTCAGGGGAGGGTGTGTGCGGAAGGGGGGGGAGGGAAGGAAGGAAAGGAAGGGGGAGGGAGGGAACAGGGAGGGAGGGAAGGGAGGGAGGGAGGGGGGGGGAGGGAAGGGAAGGGGAGAAGGATGAAGTGGGAAGGAAACAGAGGGAGGGGGGAAAGGAGGAGGAAGGGGAGGGGGGAGGAGAAGAGGAGGGGAGGGAAGGGAGAAGGAGAGAGGGAGGGGAGGTGAGAAGGAGAAGTGGGAAGGAACAGAGGAGGGAGAGAGAAGGAGGAAGGAAGGAGGGGGGGAGACGATCGCGTGCGTGGGACTTTCCTTGTAATGGGTTCGAAGGTGGTGGTGTGGGAAGGGGTGGGGGGTCCGGGGGGGGGGGAGAATAGGAAAAAGGGAAGGCACAGAAAGAATAAGAAAAGGGAAGGACACAGCAAAGAATAATGTAAAAGGGAAGGACGCAAGAAAGAATAAGAAAGGGAAGGACAACAAAAGAATAAAGAAAGGGAAAGGGCACGAAAGAATAAGAAAGGGAAGGACAGACAGAAAGAATCAGAAACGGGAAGGACACCAGAAAGAATAGAAAAGGGAGGACATAAAAAGGATAAGAAAGGGAAGGAACACAGAAAAGAATCAAGAAAAGGGAAGGACACAGAAAGAATAAGAAAAGGGAAGGACACAGAAAGAATAAGAAAAAGTGAAGGACACAGAAAGAATAAGAAAGGGAAGGACCAGAGAGAATAAGAAAAGGAGGACCACAGAAAGAATGGGAAAAGGGAAGGACACAAGAAAGAATAAGAAAGGGAAGGACACAAGAAAGAATAAGAAAGGGAGGACACAAAAGAATAAAAGAATAGGGAAGGCAGCAGAAAGAATAAGAAAAAGTGAAGGACAGACAAGAGAATAAGAAAAGGGAAGGACACAGAAAGAATAAGAAAAGGGAAGGACACAGAAAGAATAAGAAAAGGGAAGGACACAGAGAAGAATAAGAAAAGGAAGGACACAGAGAGAATAGAAAAGGAAAGGACACAGAGAAGAATAAG